TCCACCTGTCTCTGCCTCCCCAGTGCTAGGATTAAAGGTGTGTGCTACCACACCTTGAAGTAACAGGTGAATCTACCTCTGCCTCCCAAGTCTTGGGATTAAAGGTGTGTACCACCACACCCAACTACTTTCTTTCTTCCTTTTTTACCCTAAGAACTTTAACCTTTAGCCTGTATATATTTTTAACACATAGTAAACCACTTAGAGGTTTTCTTCATCTTTGAATCTCTCTTTACTGTATATCTCTCCTTTTTTCTGACTATAAGAGCCTTTAAATTACTAAGCAATATGGGTAGGATTAAAGCTGTGGCTTTGATAGCTGGATCCAGCCCATTCCTTAGCTTTCCAGCCTCATGGTGGAAGTACAGGCTGTAGCCATTTTTTTTTTGCCACAACTCTATGGCATTTCAAGGTCCTTGCCAGCAAGCACGCTGCAGCATTCTGCTCACAGACCACACTCAGTCGGACTGCCTGCCTGAAAGAGTCAGAATTTGCCCTGGCAGAACGGCCCAGAAAGCTGGCATTTTAAAACAGCACAGCTTTTTTCCTGCTATGGCTGAAAACTGAAAAGCATGCATTCAGCTTTTCATCAACACCATTTAAGTGTTTTGTAACAGGACCTCTTAAAGGAGCTGCAAAGTTTTGCAGCTAAAGTTTAGTCAGGAAGCCTCTCTTAGATGAGAGCGCTTGCTTGCCTCTAGCAAGCAGAGTAGACCCGAGAAATTGCTGCTACCAAGAAAACATGCTGTACTCTATTCTTTTCCAAGATTTCTCAAGCTTTCTGTGGATTTAGTTATCCATGTTTGGGCGCCATTTGTAGTGAAGAGCTGCTGGCAGGCCTGCTTTTAGTCCCACCCAGCTCCCCCATGGCTAGCTTAGCCCCGGAATAATAACACACAAATTGTACTCATTTAAACACTGTCTGGCCCATTATCTCTAGAGAGTTAGTTACTGGCTAATTCTCACATCTTGATTAACCCATTTTTAATAATCTGTGTAGAACCACAAGGTGGTGGCTTACCGGGAAAGATTCAGCATGTTTGATCTGGTGTCTGGCTCCATGGTGTTTGCCTCATTGCCCTCTTCCCAGCATTCTGTTCTATTTAGTCCACCTACCTAATTTTCTGTCCAATCAGAGTGCCAAGGCAGTCTCTTTATTAACCAATGAAAATAACACATAACAGAAGGCCCACCTACATCACACAGCCACATTCTTCGACTTGGCTTGTTTGTTCATTCAGTCAGTCAGCAGATGCCTACTGAAGGCTGTCCTATAGACACCAAGGACAAAACTGTGGAAATGACTTAAGTCCCCCCCCTCCTGGAGTTTATACGACAGTGGCTGGAAACCTGCTCTGGATAAAAACACATGAAAATATAGCTGCCCAGTGGAATGTATTCCATTCCTATTTTCTCATATTCTGAGCCTTTAGACTTTCTCATCATGCATTGCTAGGAGACCTGCCATTCCTCCAGTACAAGCAGAGTACATTTCTCTACCTCTTCTTGCTGGACGTTGGCCATGTCATTCCCTTCATCCTATGGAATATGGAAGACTATGATTTGAGGGAGGTTTGCAATATGTTCTTCTGGTACTGCTATGAAAATATGCCCCAGCAGTCCAGTCCCACGATAATAAAACACCCATGGGTCCTACTTGGATGTAACACACTGTCTAGAAAAGAGTCCCGTAGAGGTGAAGTCAGAGCAGACTCATTCAGCTGAACCCAGTCTAGATCAGCCCAAACAATGGGACTGTAGTAATAAAAATAAAGGTCAGTGATTTTGTGGGTTGATTTGTGACAAAGCATTCGCTCAGGGATTAGGGAGTCGTAGAAGTGGTGATTGGTGCTAAAAGAAAAAGGAAGTCGTAGGGAACAGAGAGAATGTCTTCTTTTAGAGGGAGGTGTAGACTCATAGGCTCTCAGCGTGGGAAAGCATCTGAGTAGGGGTTTCTAGCACTCAGCTGGTTAAAGCTTTGTCAAATGCTGTGTAGCTAATTTGTTTTTAATACACTGAATGGGTTAAGGCATTGCTCACAACATTCTTAGAAGACTGAGGCTCAGAGAGAGTTTTGTTATTCGTTTTTTCAGTCTCATACATTATAAAAGGAAAGCTGGTGTCTTCTTTTCCGATTGCTAAAATGATAAAATAAAATAAAATAAAATACTCTGGCTAAAACCGCTTCGGGGAGAAAGGTTCATTTTGGTTATAGGGATATAGTCTGTCACAGAGGGGAAGACGTGGCATCAGGCAGGAGAGGAGGCTGAGGGGTCCCTTTGCCTTCACACTCAGGAAGCAGAGAGCAAGCAGATAGTGGCACTAGGCTACAAAGCCTCAAAGCCCCACCCCATGTGACACACTTCCTCCAACAAGGCTCCACCTCTTAAAGATTCTAGAACTTTCCTAAACAGTGCCATCAGCTGGCAACCAATTGTTCAAACACATACATCTATGGGAGATATTCACGTTAAAAACCACAGCAGAACTCTATTCTCCTTCAACCCCAACTGAGGATTGAAAACATCCCCCTGGATGTAATGTCTCCACGAGACAGATCTCACTTGCTAGGGGTTGCGCTTCCTAATAAGACTACTGTTCCTTCAGATTCAGCTATAACTGGAGGAGGCAGTGTCCCCCACATTTCCAAACTACTCCAAAAATTCAGTGGTTCCCACAAGCCTTTCAGCTTTTATAATTTTCTAGAACTCACAGAATTCAGGGAAAACTGTACTTCAGATCCGAGTTTCATTATAAAGGACACAACAAGAAGAGGCAACCAAATAGGAAGGCCTGGGGCTGGTGCTGTGGAGCACAGAGCATCTCTGCACACACTTTGTGGCATCAGGATACATCACATTCCCAGCATGTTATGTGTGTTCTCCGAAACTTGCCCTGAACATTCTCAGTGCCTAGAGATTTTTTTTTTTAGTTTTTGATATTGAAATATAATTACTTTTCTGCCTTGCTTTCCCTCCTTGCAAACCCTTCCATATATGCCTCCCAACTGTGTTTCGCATTCACGGCCTCTTCTTCCGTTATTATTGCATGTAACATGAGGGCCGGCTTGTTGGGGTTTCTGTCCCACCCGGTACCCCACAACCGGCATGCTCCAAAGAGAAAATCAATCACACAGAGAACTCTATAAGTTATAAAGCTGGTTGGTCCATTAGGTCAGGCTACTTATTAGTTCTTATGACTTATCTTAACCCATTATTCTGATCTATGTTAGCCACACAGGCTCAGTACCTTTCTCAGTGTGACAGCTTACATGTTGTCTCTTCGGTGGTCTGCGCAGGAATGGCTGAGGAAGTTTCCTCCTCCCTAGCCTTCTCCTATTCTCATTGCCCCGCCTCCACTTCCTGTCTGGTTGACCCACCTATACTTCCTGCCTGGCCAATCAGCATTTTATTAAAATACATGATTGATGGAATACAGACAATTCTCCCACACCATTTGCATTCATATATATGTATATAGATATATTTTCCCCAATAGAACCTGCTCCATATAATGTGTATGTATGTTTTCAGGGAATGACCTTTTGACACTAGAAACTAGAAACAACTAGAAAGCCAGTTGGTGTGTTCTTCCCTGGGGAATACCTCCTCTCCTGCTCCCAGCTGTCCTCCTTGCCTATAGTTTTCTGTGTAGTGTTGAGGCCTCAGGGGGGTTTCCCTTCCATCCACTTTGGCATTCCCTTCTTGATCGGTTTGCTCCCCAGCATTTTCTATCCTGACAATGGTTCTATTCCACTTTCCTGGTTTCTAGTTACTCCAGGCTGTGTACTCATGCTGGAAGATTTGAAACTGGGAGTCTCCAATGAGAGAGAACACGTCATTTGTGAGTGTGGGTCTTGGCTATCACACTCACTATTGTCGTTTCTCTTTCCGTCCACTTCCCTGTAAGTTCATAACTTAACTTTTCTTTACACCGGAATAGTATTCTGTGGTGTATATGCACCACATCTTCATTATCCACTCATGGACTGAAGGATGTTTAGGCCGTTTCCAGCTCCTAGCTCTTGTGAACAGGGCAGCGCAGAGCGTGGCTTAGACAGGACTTGTGGAGTAGGATGGCGAGTCCTTTGGTTATACGCCAAGGAGTGGTGCAGCTCGATCCTGAGGCAGACCTATTCCCAGCCATTCTTAAAACAAGGTGGCAATACAAGCCCCAAGGGGGAATTTTAAAAAGGAAATGACCAGTCGGACCCATGGGCTGCGGAGCAGACAACATTCAATCAGAGCTCCAAGGGTTTTGTGGGGATTTCCTCAGCTTTTTGTTGCCAGGAATGGTAACTTGGGGGAAGACTGAATTGCACAGAAGTAGAGTGATGGTTAGTTTCAATTCTCACCAGCTACAACCTAGCCTCATCTGAGAATTTCTGCAAGGACTCAAGGACTGCCTCTGTCAGGGCGGTCTGCCGCGGGGGGGGGATATTGTGTTGATTGACCCGCTTGGAAGTGAGTGGTCCTGTTTGATGGAGTTTGAGCCCTGGATTTTATAAGAGCAGTTGAGAAGGGAAGGAAGGGAGGGATGCAAGGAAGGGAGGGAAGGAAGGAAAGAGGGAGGGAGGGAGGGGAAGAGGGAGGGAAGGAGGAAGGGGGAAGATGAACTGAGCAGTAAACATGAACTCATCCATTTTCTTCTCTTCTTGGCTGTGATGTGACCTAGCCGCTTCACATTCCTGCCTTGATTTCCCCACACTGAGGGGCTTTAACCTGGAATTGTGAGTTAAAATAAACCCTTCCTCCCCTAAGGTGTTTTTTTGGTCAGGGTATTTTAGCTCAACAGCAGAAGTGAAACCAGGACAAGAGCTTTGTTGATGTTGCTGCTGTGACCGCTCCCCGTAAATGTAAAACAAAGTCCGTGAAGCACACACGAGAGCTCATTCTAAAAACCACAGATCTCAGTGGGCTGAAACAGTTCATGTTTTTTCAACAGAATGGCACACATCTGTGGACAAATTTTGAAGTCTCAAAAATACACCCAGAGAGGTCGGCCTGGGCTAGAGTACCCGGGCCGCCACCATGCTGCTTTCTGCCGCGTCTTTTGCCAAGAGCAAGTCAAAAACCATTTTGGTGAGGTTGGTGAGCCAAGCTGGGACAGGTTTCTCCTTCAACCACAAAAGAAGCCGACTCCGAGAAAAGCTGACTCTTCTGCATTATGATCCAATTGTGAACAAAAAAGTTCTCTTCGTGGAACAGAAAAAAATACGCTCCCTCTAAGCATTGGATAGAAAATGTATTTGATTCATAAATGAGAAGACTGAGGGTGAGGGACTGGCTCAGAGACCTGCAGAGTGTGCTGAAGAAGAGGAGATACAACATGGCCGCCGGCGAGAAGGCCACTGGGAAGGAGCAGTGCCAGGAGAGAGTTCTTCACAGAGACCAGATATTTATCTCTCTGGATTTCTTATAGGCATTAATAAAAAATGTTGAAATAGCCAAAAAAAAATACACCCAGAGGAAACTTTCGCCCCTGTGACTGAAGGGTTAAAGCTTCGTGGTCCTTGACTCTGAGCACCTTGGGTCTCAGCGCCAGCAGAACACCCAGGCAAGCCTTCAGACAGTGGGAGATGTTTGCATGCTGATTAATTTTTGATGGTCGGCTGAACATTTGTTTAATCTCTGGTTGAGACTTTTGCACTCCAGGCAGAGGGGGAAAGCATGAAACGACGGTCTCAGCACTTTCCCCCCACACTCTATGCGGGCTGCGGGGAACTGGGATTGACAAGGCAAGTGTAGGCATGAATGTATTAACCTCGTTTCCTTGGGAACCACCGAGCGGAGGGGAGCATGTCAGTCACATTTAGCAGCCTGCGCGGTGTAAGGCAATTAGTTCCAGAATTTGTCAGATGACAGTTCTATTTTTGAGCACTTTCTTATCAATTAGAAGAAGAATGCCTGACGCGCGGAGATTTCTCAGCAGTTTGCGGCGCAGTAGCGTAGTTTAGAGGCAACACGAAGGGGAGCTCACACTGCCTCCTACAAAGACCGTTCTAATTTGTTCCCTCGGTGGAGCATCTTGATGGATTGGCTCAGGGTTGAACACAAGCAAGGGAGAGAGGCCGCTTAGCTCGGTCTCTTCAGAGTGAAAACAGACGCTGAGGCGGCACACGCTGTTCTCCGGCAGCTTGCCCTGGAAATTAACGACAACGCAGATCGTGAAGGAGTTCTTGTGTGCGGGCTTCAGGATTTGGAGGAGGTTAGAGCAACAATAATACAAATAAGCATCAACCAGCAGCATTGACAGCACACCAGGCTGTGTGATGCACACGGGTCCAGCATGTCCTCCACTCTGCCTACAAGGCTGAGGACAGAGTAGGGTAGCCTCTGAGAATGGCATGACACAATGGCTTATGGGTGCTGTGGAAATGACTCGGTCAGCAAATCGCTTGCTGTGCAAGCATGAGGTCTCAAGTTCAAGTCCCTAGTACTTAAGGAAAAAGGTGTTTCCCGCACATAGCAACACACATATCTTATCCAGCCACCAGAGAGGCAGAGGCAGGAGGATTCCCTGGAGCTTGCTGGCCAGCAAGCCTAGATAAGTCGATTCAGTAAGAGACCCTGTCTTAAGAAAGTAAGATGGTAGCAATTGAAGAAGACACTCGGAGTCTACCTTCAGTTTCTGCATGAACGCGCACTACATGTTACCTGTACCAACGTGTGCAACCCATATGAACATGTACACATATGCAACTCCATGAAAGTTAGCACGAACTCTTAATCAAGAGGTTGGATGAATCTGGGTAATGTGTTATCCACAAGTCTGCAATATTCAATTATGTTTGTTTCAAGTTAAGAAGACTTAGCCTTGAGCAGCTTCACGCTGGAAAGCCAGCCAAAGACAAGCAAAACTGGGATCCAATCTGGTCTTCTTGCAAGCCACCCTCGGTGTCCATCACTGACCCTACTCAGACAAGGATTGGAGTCCATTTGCTATAACATGTGACTTTTCTGTACCATGTGATTTTTTTTCCCTGCATGAATTGCCCTGCTCAGCACTTTCACATGTGCCTGTTTACCCAAGAACCAGAAGGGCCATGGTTGATGTCCTCTAAAGCTTACGAGGTCATCTCTAAGCCTTCAGACCATTCCCATGGCGCCTGCTTTGCATCCAGTCTCCAACAAATAGGCCTCTGTTTCTTTGATACATTTTGCTTGGCCCCTGTCACAGACTCCTCCACTTCCAAACAACTCATGTATCCTGCCACGTAAACACCCACTCACAATGTCTTGACCCTTCTGTCAGCACTCGCCATGTTTGTCCTCGAATCATACATGTATTTCATGTATCTGTGTACTTGGCCTCCCATGAGTTTAGTAATAGTGGGGACTTGGATGGTTTTGCTCCTGCTCTCACCCATGTTTCTAAAACAGCGTCTGCTCAGTAAACAGCGGCTAAATAAACAAGTATATAAATAGCATAACCCTATGGGCACAAGTGCCAAAGACAAGTGGGCAAGGTCAGAGTTAGAACGCTGCCACTCAGACATCATGGTGAGGATGTGGTGGACACGGAATGTCCCCGGCTCGCAGCTTGCACAGTTGTCTTAGCATCCCTGAGTGAACCTCAAGGATGATGGCCGGGAAAGACTTGGATGATGTGGCCCTGTTTAGAGGGGAAGAATATTGGTTTAGCTTGGACACAAGAACTAAGGATATTTTCAAAAAATTTAAGACAAGATGATGGTGAGAACCACAAGAAGGGCCTTGGTGTTGAACCTGGGAGGGCATAGTTCTACAGATCTCCTGAGAGCAAACGCTGAGCTGAGGAGACAGGAAAGGGGGGAGTTTTCACACTATGAATTTTTGGAGATTTAGAGGATGATTAAGGCAGCACAAGCCCTCAGAGGAAGGCTTGGGGAAGCTCATTTGGAGGTAGTTAAGAACTTGAAGCAATCGTTGTTCAACCCATCTTAATCTCCTGGTCCTTCAGGCAAAGCACAAATGAGAACGTCAGGATTCAGCATGGGGACAAAATGCTTACTCTGGACTAACTTAAAGAAATATTTCCACATTTGCCAACCCTCTCAGTCATGCCAGAGATCACACTGACCCATTAGCAAAGTCTGCTGAGGTCAGAGCAGATGGTGATAAACATCCATGATTCCCATCTGCCCTTCCAGGTCTAAACTTTGCTGGAGGCCCATTCCTAAGCAGTTATGTAGACACATTTGCTGGCCACATTGATGAAAATGAGGAAATCAGCAGATAAAAATGGGTGTCTGAGATGCCATCTTGTGGCCTGAGCTAAGAGGAGGTGGTGAGAGGTTAGTGATGAGGGCAGGCTGGCAAGGAAAGCATTTCTTACAAAGTACCTGGACAGTGGGATGAGGAAGCGGTGGAGTGGATCTTGTGTCTGGGGAAAGACTATTCCAAGAAGAGGGAACAGTTGGTACAGAAGGCCTGCGGTACAGAGTAGTACAGAATTTTGAGAAATAGTTAGGAAGTAGCTCAGCTGCAGAAGGTGAGTTGTCTTAAGAGTAGATAAGCATAAGAAGTGGTGGAAGCTTTGGTTATTCAGGACCACAATGCCCGTATGTATGTGCACTATGTGCATGCAGTACCAGAGGAGGCCAAAAGAGGGCATCATATTCTCCAGACTGTGATTATAGAGGCTCTGAGCCACCACATGGATCACCAGGACCAAACTCAAGTGCTTTGCAAGAGCAACAAGTGCCCCTAACCTCTGAGCCATCCTTCCTGTCCCACTTGTTACACTTAAAATGCTTTGGTAAAGATGTTGGGATTTATGTTGAGCAAAATGAAAGGTGGTTTTATGTACAACAAGAAGTATCCCTTACACCTTCAAAAGATGGTTCTGGCTGCCAGTAGAGGGCCAGGAGTGGTGGCGGAGGGCTGCCGCGGTGGTCCAATCAAAGCACCATGGTGATTACAATAAGGTGGAGCAGATAAGAGTCAGACAGGGTTCCCAGTGTTTGTCAAAGGTAACACGGACAGAATCTGCTAGTAGGAGTGACTTGGGTTTAAGAGAAAGAGAAATGATGTTGCTGCATAGATTTTTCGTTAAGCCTTGAATGTGGGGAGGATCTGAGATGGAGCAAAGTGAAGAAAGGAGGCCAAATCAAGAAAGTTCAGTGCCTGGCTGGGCATGATGGCACACACCTTTAAACCTAGCACTTGGAAGTCAGAGTTCAAAACCAGCAAGACTTCATAAGAGATAATAATAATACATTAATAATAATAATAAATGACTGAAGGAAGGCAGGAAGCAAGCACAGAGCCCATGCCATGGCCAGTACCTTTGGATGGAGGCAGATCAACATCGTCTGGACTTGGCACTATGGAGGATGTGGTGGAAGAAATTCCTCAGGGAACAAGGGACTGTGTTTTCCATAGAGAACTGAAAAGCAATAATTAACTAAAAATAGGTCTACTTTTTATCATAACTGTGCAGTGGCAATTCTGAGCACTGTCACCAAAAGGAGTCTTAAGTTATTCTAAGTACTAAACCTTGTTGCAGATGTCACTGAGATCAAGGACTACCTCCTGTGAAGTCTTGGAATGAGCAAGGTGTATTACTTCCCCTAACGAATGTGTCACCATCCAGAGAAGGCCATTTAGGCAGGCCAGCCCCTGCTCCTGCAGTCCCCACTGTTGCCAAGTTTGCGAGTCCCTTAGAACTAGAGTTATCCACATTTTGGTTGTTGGGTACAAGCAGTGATACGTGAAGAGTTCTACATCTCGTCTGTATATTGAACCCCTTATCAATACCAGGGGTTCTGAGCAGCCGCCACATTCCTTAGGTGACCTTTCCACTCCGAAGATAGTTTTCCTTTGGCACAAGATTTTAAGTTTGGCACAAGCACGCTGGGATACATTGGCTCTTGTTGCAAGTACCATAACCAAGCAAATATTGCCAAATCTAGCATCATCAAGCCGTCCCTCCTGCCATTGTCTAAGAGTTCTGTAGGCTTCATAGGTAAGTCTTTCGGTGACAATTATTATTGCTAATAGCCCCTGTGGTATTATTTCCATTCTTCTGCCCACAGAAGGCTTCCATTAATATGGAAATCGGAGAGCTCTCTGTGGTGCATTTGAATCTAATAAACTCTGACTGTCTTCGCTCAGGTATAAATCTGTCTCTGTACCTTAGTGGCAGGAACATAAAAGTCGAGGCATGAAATCCTTTCTCCCAAGTAAGTTATCACCAGCAAGAGCATGGTATCAGTGTGTGGCCAGTGTGGCCCCCTGTTCTTCACAGTTCTGCTCTACGTCAGGAGACTGTCCTTCAATATCCTTGCAGGTATTGGGGATCCTCCACTTATTTCTGCCTGCATCTCCTCTAATCTTTTGATGAATAGAGAGGTACCCCCATATTGCTATAAGTTATAGGCTCTTCCCTTCAGCCCTTGATCATAGGGAATGGCTCTGAAGCACATACACATGTAGTAACAGCTGCTAAGGCTAAGAGCAAGC